CACACACATCAAATAGAAACACACACATACAAACAAAAAACAAACGAGAGAAAATAAAAATAATGTCAACTTCCGTTTTGCTTGGCCAACTTTTGACGCCATCCCCTCCTGTTGTTTTAACTGCTCGCTTCTGTTGTGCTTTGTTTTTGTTTACTTTGAATTGCAAATTTTTGTTCGGGCTCTTTTACTTTTTATTTTCACTTCATTGCGGAGCATAATGAGTCGCGAGTGCTGCCACAGCCACGGCATGCGTGCCCCATTGTCATTTAGCAACTTACACGCAGGGAAATAATGGCACAAAGGTTTTAAAAGTTATCCCAGATAAAGATACAAAGACTGTAAATTGATATAAAATAACTATACATTTTCAAAGACAAGCCACAACTCTTTTTTGTTGTTTAATTGGATTTACAAGTAAAAGGGTCATACATTTTAAGAAGAAAAAACAAGCAAGAAAATAATTTTGAAAAAAAAAACATGAAGACAGCATTACAACTTTCAATGTGTACTTGAAGATAAACTTTAAAACTAAATAATTCATATAAAGGACGTAACTAAAATTAAAATTTAAAAAATTGTATTATTTGTTACAGATAAAGATGTGGGTGATTTTATCAGTTAATACATAAGTAATATTATTTACTTTTAATTTAAAAAATTACTGTACGAATATATAAAATTTAAATGCATAAATCGACATCTACATTTTGTTTTTTGGAAACACAATGCCTATCAGTATTTTTACCAAAGCCTTATTGCCTAAAAGAACTGGCTTGTTACCCCACTTTTGCGCACTGCACCTGATGAAGTACGCATTCAAACGTGGCACGAAGTACATAGCTCAACCAGAAGGCCCATGCCGCACGGACGCCACGTAAATCTATTAACACCTCACGTCCGACTGAAGGATAAGCCCGCAGTAGCCAGAAAGCCGGGCCAAAACCACAGCCAATGCCATCGAGCAAGGTGTCCAAGTGTGTGCGGTAAATGAAGCATTTTGGCCAAAACGGCACGTACTGGCAAAGGCTTCAGCCCCTTACTTTTCGCAGCCCCGTCCCCGGACCCCCGACTTTGCCACATCAAAAGGCAATCGCTGCCGTAACTTTTCCAACTAATTTACATAGAGCTCTGTGCCCGACGCCAAACCTACGTGACCATGCAATTTGCATTGGCCCCATGTCCCTGGTGCAACTCTTAGGCCAAGTTCGTGGTGCTTACCCAGCGATAAGCTGGAGCTTTTCCCCCGTCGAACAGTGCGTTTAAAATAAACAAGATGCTGCCTTTTTGCCACTTGGCACCAGTTTAAGATTGATTAAGACGTATCTATTGTCGAACACGTTGGCTTCTCCTCAAAGCCTTGGCACGTAGCTCAGCACCTCCTGGAGTCCCTTAAGCTAAGCCATTTTATACAGCAGGTCAGAGGGTATGTGGAGTATATACGAACTTGAGATGACAAAATATCGATCTTAATTAATATACCCTTGAATGGGCATTCTTGAGATTTAATAACTAGTTATCATCCCTTAGCCTTTCGAAGGACTTAAGATTTTCAAAGATTAAAAAATATTGTATTATTTGAATTTACATCTTACAGCAAATTTTAATAGAAAAAAATGTTTTAACAAAATAAAATTTAAAAAAATTGCTTGAATACTAATCAGCATTCAAGAGGACTAACCAACCCACGAGTGAGATTTCCCAGGTACGAACCCTTCGAGGATTCAACCGGCAGCAATCTTCCATCTTTAGGTGTTCTTACTTATATATCGTTCTCTCGGGTGTTCGTGATAAAATCACATCTATAAACATTAATCGCTCTTTTATGAAGTGTAATAAATTCTGGGTTACACGTTTGGCCGCAATTTAACGCTCTCGGCCCTTTTTCAGAGCTTTAAGCCCAAGCCGAAAAACACGAAACAAACTGAAGTCATGGCTTTAGTTTCTCTAAAAATAGCTTTATTCATATTTGATTGGTACCCAGTTTGGTAATTAGTTTCGGTTTTTAGTTTCTTGTTGCTAGTGTGTGAGTTTTTGAGTTACTTCTCAGTGGCATTTAGTTTCAAACAACATGAACAAACATTTAATAAATACATTTAGATAATTCTTATATGAATATCATATAACAATCACGGCTTGTTGATGGAATACCTATTTAAACGATCTAAGCAATATACATTCATATACAGGTAAATAATTATCAATATTATATATAGTAAACATACTATTTTAGAACTATCTTCTCTAAAGACGTGTAAATTTGTTTGGTGTTTGATTTATGCCTAGAATCGAATAAGTAAATGAAAATTATTAAATAATCTGTACTACATTTCGATAATAATGAGATAATCATCTGAACTTTATTCTGCTTTATATATATATGTGTGCTTTTGGGCTGCAAGTATGTACAAATATTTGCCAGCTACTTGACCCATTGTGTTTGGGGCGTTCTAACAGAGTTTTTACATTTTCATTGTCATTTCAGCGATCCAACAATTGTTGAGAGCCCATGCATAGTTGATCAGCTCTTTCTTGTTTACACAGCAAATTGATTTACAATGTAAAACAATTTCAGCTCACTTCCTGCCATTTAAATTGGTACACAAAAAATATTCTCCAATTAATTGCCATTAAATATGCGGCGCATGGCCAAAAGTATGTGCATTCCAAATGAAAAATGCATTCAAATGAAAATTTGTTTTTGATTTTAATAAAAACAACTTATGAACTCTCCATTTGTGGAACTGCGGCTGTGTAAAAGCATATTTTAATTAGTAAAAACATAATTGTGCAGTTTTAATGCGATTTAATGGGACCGAAACACAAAAGCGCATAATTATTCATTTTGGCCGTGCAATAATTTTATTTGCTTTTACATTCCATTTTCGGCGTTATCGGCAAACAAAAGATTTAAATGGGAAAGGGTAAAAATTCTATCCTTAATTTCATTGTTACATTTTTGGTCTCATCTATTTTATTTTTTATTACGCTTTAATTGGTTAGATAATATATGTTTGTGTTTAAAATGTTACAAAACAATCCTTTATGCTGAAATAAATAATTATTGGTTACTTAAATATTAACAAGGTTGGCTGATTGAAATTCTTTATTATTATCATTTAAGAATGGGATATTGATTTGTTGTTAAACCTTGTTTTTTAAACAGATTTATTTATTGGTCACACGTTGCTCTTTTGTTGTTCGATTATTGGTTATTGGTTTTTGTTTAGGTACTGTGCAGAGTTCACTTTGAAAACCGTGAAATGAACAAACGGAAACCTAGAGACATTTCATTTACACATCTATTTGATTAGATACATACACTTCTGTTTGAGTAACATGTTTGTTATTGCTTCTGTTTAGCACTTGCCTGGCCAGGCTTTTAACTTAATTACGAAGGCTACATCGTTTTGAACTACCACTAAACTGCCATTTGCTCCCAGCACCCGTCGATCCCTCGGCCCAGCCTCTGTCTAATCTTAATGTTAACTCAAGGGTTATACCATTTCCGGATAATGTGTGTGTGTGGTTTTTGCTTGGGTCTATACATTGATATAGTTCACTGGCCTAAAAAGTCCCAACTGGCTCCAATCCCCTATTTAAACGTCTGTATATATAGTATATATCCATATCCGTAGTGTGTGTAATTGGTAATATTGTATATGCAGCATAATTAACTTTGATTATACACATGTCGCTGGCAGGAGAAGAACATCGACCATCGAGCATCGAACATTGCCTCCCCAGCACCGCCAGTGACCTTTGATTATGTTACAATGCTAATTGAGTGTTCCGCTCCTCGACTTAAGATCTAGAATTTCCACTACGGGTATGCAGCAGGCTCAGCTTAGGCGCTAGTAATTGATATAAGTAGTGGGTGCGTGCGGTGACTGGCCATTGGCCATTCCATTGGGCATTTGGGCATTTGGGCATTTGGGCATTTGGGCTTAGCCCAACTCGGACTACACACTGTCCGCCTGCTCTCAGAGATAGTTGGGCCTGGAGACGCAGCAGAGCAGGCTCATGTTCTTGCAGATGTAGTTCTGGCGCCGCTTGGCCTGCCAGGGTCCGGTTGTGTCCAGGGCCGCGTTGCGTTCTGCAAACAGCACATGAAAGAGTAAACAGTACGCTTGATTAATTAATGAGTTTGGGGGGTAGGCAAATACCATATGTAAGCACGACGCTGCGAAAAAAGCAGTGACTTCGTATATTTTTATCACAATTAGATGATGCTTAGCTATAATGCCTTTGTCTTTAATTTATTGGCGAATTTCTATGCAAACCATTTTGGTAGCTTGGCAGTAAATTTGTTTATAGTTTGGTTATATTTTAGATAGGCAAACAAAATTTTTACCAGCTAAATCTAGCTATAATTGACGAATAGTATATATTCATTTACAAAATCTGGCATTTATACAGTTTCCGAAGTGCTGAACTTAGTAAATTAGAATTTAGTTTGTTTTTAAAAAAAGTAAAAGATGCCAAAGACACAAATGAGTTATGAAAAAATCTAATATAATATATATATATAATATAATATAAAAAATAATGCTTTCATCTACAAGGTCAAATTGTAAAATATATAAAATTCATTCGTGATTATCTTCAACAACTATGGCATAATTAATAATTGTATTGATCTTTATTAAAATAATAGTATAGCAGGTAATTTAAAGATAATATACTAGATTAATGTAAATAAAGCTCAAATAAGCCAAAAGTAATAGGAGTATATTTCAAAAAAATTGGTGGTAAGCCATTAGCAATAGACCTAAATAGCCTGTCCAGTTTTTGTGCGCAACGTTGCCCTTTTTGGTGTGCCATACAATTTTGTTTTCCGTCGGACCTTGGCCAAATACCAAAGTGCACGGCAATGGCATTATGGGAACGGGAGCCTGCGCACTTGGAGCACTCACCCAAGTATGCCTCGTGCTGCGGCATGTACTCCTGCATCTCGGAGAGGAGCACGGCGATGTCCTGGGAGTCTTTGGTGATGCTGCATAATTCCTCCTCGTTGAAGTCTGGCGTAAACTGTTTGCACAATAATATCTGGCTGATGACATTGCCCAGGTTCGAGGGCCCCGCTCGGTTCTCTGAAAAAAGAAGGAAAGGAAGAGAAAGTCAAGGGATAAATCAGAGTCAAGTGAAAAGCTACCACTAAGTCCAGGTGCAGCAGGGTCATGCTCCTGTTGGCACAACATTTTCCCCTAGTCCGGCACTAAAATAAACCATTTTGTTTAACTTGGCCGCAGCCACAGGAAGCCGACTTTATTTGTTTCATTCATTTTTATGCAAACATTTTCCTTTGACGTTTGTGTTCCCCTCGTTTTTATTTATTTCCGTTCTTTGACTGCTTCATTGGCTTTGGCATTTTTATTTGTGACGCGCTTTGATGTCTGTCTGTTTTTTTGCCTCAAATAAACTTTTGGCTTTAACTTGCCTAATTTAATGATCACAAGTTGAAAAGTGTACTTCAAAAAATACATGATAAAAGTTATGTCAATTATTTAACTTCCTTATACACAATCTATCCTAAGAGTTTCCATATTTGTGTCTATTTCTATTTGTTTAAAAGTGCCCTAGTTGTTTCCATGTTTGCCCCTTGATTGATTGATGCTGCAATCAATTTCCGATCGCCCATCAATCTTCATCAGGCATAGACGAATTAATTACTTAGCAAAACTTGCTGAGCGGCATGCATCAATGCATTGCTATCTATTCGATCATCCAATGCGGCGTATACGCAATATTCATATTTCATCGCTTTGCGAGAATGCAAACCAATATTTGCTAGCCACTTTTATTTAGGGTATCAGCTGAGATAGAGAGTATGCTGTGCTTAAAACAGGGATACTTTTTTGTAATTTAAGATATATTTCCCAAGCAATATACTTTTATTTTAATTATTTTTCATTTATTTAATAGTTATTTTATTTATTTCATCTGAGGGTCTGGTAAAGTCTTTGCATTTATCTCCCTTTTTGTTTATATCCTGAGAGGCAATAACTTTTTCGCCAGCATGGCAATAATTAAACGACCACATAAAGCTGCCATCGGAGCCACGCATGCCATCAACACCCACTATCTCTCTGCCCTGTCAATTTTGCGTATATTTTGGTTTGCAATTATAACAGCCACACACGAAAAAAGCGGGGCTTCAATTTTTGAATTTTTATTGCTTATTCTGCGTTGATGGCGTTTTCATGGCGCTGCAGATATGGTTTATTTCGCCGGTTGGGCGCGGGTGCATTGTAAATTCGTTGCACCAACAATGCCGCATCCAAAGCCAGAGACTCTGGCTCTGCAAATATTTACGGCCCATTCCCCAATTTTCCGGGTGTGTTGACAGTGAGAAGCCAGTGCCAGCGCAGTGGTTGTAATTTAAAAATTTATGATCAGCAATTGGCATTTGGCATTTGCGTTCGCATTTGTATTCTCCGGAAATTTCCATGGTCAGCCTGGCGACAAATCAGTTCGAAGTTTGGCTCTGCATATTTTTGCGCTCGCACGTGCACATTAAACATGGCAAAAGAATGGCAATCACAGCCAGGACCAGGACCAGCACCAGGAGCAGGACCTGCACACACACAGAGTCGCAGCTACAGCACCAAGTATGCCAAACAATTGTTGAACGTGCACCGAGTGTCTGTTCCCGGAGTGACTGAATGCCGCCCTGAATGGCAATGTCAAAGAAACGGCATCCTCGTTAAGTCTCACTCGGAATGCAAGGAAATAGTTGTGCAGTGGGGTCTTTAAAGTTTCGAGAGGTACAAGTATAAAAGTTATATAACCTTCATATTTTTAATGTATTTTTATTTTATTTAGTCTGCGTTTTAAAACCCTGCCATAAAATAACTCGAATAACAATTTAAGGTATATATATATATATTTAAAGTTCTACACATTAAAACAAATTTGAAGAATGAGAACGACTGTGTATTGCAACCGCAATTGTTTCGCGCACTTTAAACAAATCACTATATTTGAACCGGACCCAACTCCATTTGCCAAAGTCCTTGTCTGAGTTTGACTTTTGCTGTCAACCGCAATTTTGAAATGACCCGCAATCGGCATGGCGACAGCTGAAACATGGTCCCAGTTGGCAGGGAATCGTGCGTTGGTGTTGCATTAAACTTACCATAATAGCCGGACATATCCATTGGCACGACTTGTATGAGACGATAACTTTTCACAAGTTCACGTAGGAACAACTGGGCCATGTAGAACAGTAGCACCAAGTGCGGGTTGTCGGTGAGGATGCCATCGGCCATGGCGCTGCAAAAATAAACCAGGTGAGGGTAAAAAACAATGAGAGCAATGCAAGGTAACATGAAAATCCGGTGTGGAATATTGCAGAGCTGGAATGCCGCATTGTGGGGGCCGCATTTGTGGCAGGCCAAATTGCATGCGGAAATTGTGAAATGAAATTTATACGATTTTATGACATTTCTTTGGGTCGAGTGTAAGGGCCATAAACTGGCGACAAACTAATTCATATCCACCAGAGTTTTAAACTACGTACTCGGTTGTAAAATCTGGATTCAGCTGCTCTGGTCGAAACAACAATTAATTTTTCGATGAATTTTTTAATGAACGCAAATAATTTTTATACTTTTAGCGTAGGACATTTGAAATTTGATATCTGATTTTTTTGTAAGGGGGTACATCATCATTTTTTGCAGAAATTTGAAAATCTGAAAAAATTTTAACTGTGAATGCCACTTGATTGGAAATTTAATTACGAATTCAACGTTGTATGACAATTCCACATTTTGACCATTATTTCCCAGGGTTTTGTTTTTTGTTTTATCATAGCTTCAATGTTTTTAAACATATACGCAAGTAAATCATAATTTTAATGATTTCAAAAATGTTTAATTCTTGCTATACTTGTAGCTGCAAGGGCTTCGGCTTGCCGAAGTTTGCTTTCTTTCCTGTTTTGATATCGTATTTTCAATCAAGGTATACAGTTTTCGTTTAAGCCCAAATATTATCATTATAATTTCAACAGCTGCAAATAAGCAAACCAAATTAAGTTCTAATACCATAAGCAGCAGCAAAATGACATTTTAATTCTACAAAATTACCATTATGAAAACAAATTATATAAATTCACAAACCACTCTGTAAGATTTGCAGCAGTATAATTCATTTAGAAAACACTCAGAATTTACAGTTGGTACGCAAATTGCTGCTTAGTTGACATTAATTTCAGTTTTAGCACAGACGGGGCAATTATGAGGGGATCCGGGGGCAGTTGCGGAATGGCACACAAATATAAATTGCCATAAACATATTTGCAGCTACACAGGAATAAATTCAATTTGTAAATTGCTTTTGCATTGCCTAAACTCTACGGAGCTGGAAATGAAAAATGTGTATTTTAGCAAGGAAGCGAGGTCCTGAAAGTGTTGCCGCGTCTTCTGATTTCACCCTCCATGGCTGGCATTAAAGCAAATAAATTGCGAATTAATCTTTCCCAAGGTGTATCTGAAACGGAGTGTGAGTTTGAGAGGATTCAGCTTAAAGCGATTTAGATTTGGGCCCCGTGCCTAAGCGAATGTTAACGTTGGAGGGGTCCCATTTAGCTTGGAGTCTAGAATATTTTTGATTACATAAATATTGCTTATACGATTAAGAGTAGGTGCCTTTCTAGGTACTTTTAACAAAAAATAATAATATCACAAAGATTATTTGATCTCTGATTTGTTGGCTAATCCTTTTTCAAGAAGAAAAGACCACCAATATGTAATACAAATTCGTTTTTAACATCTGTACCCCCAATAAACGTATACAAATTAGATAGAATGTTTAATGCACAATCATCCAGTTATGACCCGCGTTAATATTTTATTATCACACATTAGCATTGGTACCAATACGAAGAGAAGAGCTGGACTTTAATGCTCAAATCGTAATCAAATTAATGCTAAGCGATTTCCTTGAAAAACTGCAAGTTGTAAATGGCAGAGAGCAATGTTTTAATGACTTCCCTCTCCTTTCATCCCATCTTTTCTTGATTGTGGTGCGCGGACATTAACGTGGGTCATTTTCGCCAGCACCACACCCAGAAAATCGTAATAATAAGTTTGGAGCAACGAAACAAAATCTGCAAAGCATCCAAAAACCCACCAAACACAAAAAAAAAAGGAAAGTCGAATAAAGAGCGAAGGGCAAACAGAACAGAAGGCGGAAAAAAGCCGAAAAAATGGTCCAGACCATTGTCAGCAGCTGGTCTTGATTACAGCTCTCGGACGTTATATTCATTTATAGCAAATAACAGTGAAATATTTTTTATTCCCTCGCTGGACCCAAGGGAAAATTGTATAAAATGGGAAAGGGACTGGCGTTCATAAAACGCGTTTATCAGGGTCGCCGACCAATCGAAGTTATTAACTGCAGCTGTATATAGAGCTGTTAAAATTGCCACACTTTACGAGACGGAGAATTCCTTAAAATGTCTGACGCTACGTGACGAGCGCTCAACCTAATTGCGTAACTTTACCCATTTCCTTGCCGGCGCTGTCTTCAATAATTTGCTGTCATTTTCACAAACATGACCACAGAACATCGCCTTATAGCCTGGACATCCGGGAACCGGCATCAAGTGTCGAAATAATGAACGAAGTAGCCAATGGCGACAATAAAACAATGCAGCAGCAAAAGCAATGGTATTCAGAGAATTTTTACAATGAAAAGACTTTCGTTGAAAGCTATTAAATTGTTACAATATCTGAAAAAATTGGGTTCACTGAATAAATAATTTAAAAGCAGCAACTAAAATTACTTCCATTGCATACAACCAAAAATTAAAAAGTAACTCAATGTAAACAAAGTTTTATATTTACATATTTTCAAATTTGAATACTTCAGTTTAAGAGCAAAAAGTTAAAGTTAACTATCTTTACCTTTATGTTAAAAATCAAATTCAAGCAATATATTTGACATATTTTACAGAAAATATAAATATATTTCCCTGATTTTTCCACAGTGCTGTGGCAACAGCAGTTGCAGGAAACATAAAACTTCCGACACAACCGCAGACATCGACGACGTCTATGAGATTGGCTTTGGGTTTGGCTTTGATGGGGCTGTCCCCGGAGGTCAGAATCCTTGTGTTATGTTCTCCCTGCGGACTCTGGGCAATTGTCGGATTGTGTTTTCCGTGCAGCGAAGGACGAAGGAAGAAGGAGTATTATTTGCAGCGGAAATGCGTTTAAGCCAACATGACTTGGGACGGGTTTTTCGGGTGGGTGGATGGCGAAACCGGCGGAATGGGAGCAAGTCCAGCCCCCCGAGGACTCTGTTGACTAACTCGCTGTCAAAACAGGGGGAACCGAGTAGCTTACACAAAGGCAGCGCCAGTAATTTAGCAACGACAAACAACTGCACATAACTACAAGGCAAACAGTAGAACAAATGCGAAGTAAGCGCGGGCAAATAGACAGATGGATAGATAACATGAACACAAACGCAAACTCGGCGAAATGGACCGAACGTCGCCTCCAAGGATATATGTGCCATATAAGCTACACGGCAAGAAATTAATAAGGCATACATTTTAGGCTATTTTGGTATTTATTAGATAATATTCCAACTACATTTAAAAATATGTACATATATCATTTTTAATAAAAGTATAAGAAGTTACGTTTTCTCGTGTTTAGGTAAGTTTCAGTATTACAAAAGTACTTTTAAACCTTAGTTATATCTCGTATGGAATCTAATAATATTCCAGTTCACATTTAATTATCCTTCTGGCATTATTTTTTTCTTTGGGTGCATCTTCAGTACATGTATAAGTGCGAGTTGAACAAACAAACGGGCAAACAACTATCAGTCACTCAAGGCAGTGGGCAAAGAGCTGCCGCCATCTGAGAACGGGAGTGGAAATGGCAATGTATATATATCATGGTGGAAATGAAAATGCGTATGACTCTAGGAAAGCGACTGTAAGAGTGTCTGTTCGTAGGTAGTCTAGTTGGCACCCCCTCGAAGAGGTGGGAAAAGCACTTGCGCGGTTTGGGTGCCCACAAGGTATCACAACTTTGTCGTCTTGTTTGGCCAAGGAAACCACAAAAGTTGGGACTAAATGCTAACTATATTTGCTTTAATAGCCAACTTTTGCGGGCCATGTTTGAGTTGTTATTATAAATGTTTAGTTAGTGGTGATCTAGCACAAACAGTAAAATATGAGAAATTTCAACAAGCTAAAAATAAGTAATAATATCATTATTTATATATATGCTTAATAAATTTTGTGTGAAATCCTTTTTATTATTTTTCATATTATTATGCAGGGAGTGCCATATTAATGGCAAAATAAGCGACTTAAAGAATTTTCGCTCTTTTTGAGTCCAACTTTGTTTACTTTCTCCTTTTTGCCACAGTACTATCGACTTGTTGTGACTTTGGCTGGCTCACATGGGTCATGCATGTGCTTACAAAACATAAAACAGCAACAAACAACGAAACTCTGTCAGAAAGTTTTGCTCTGTCATTGTCAAGTTGCGCCTGAAGTTTTCCCATCCCACTTTCGGGTTTTTCCATTTGCCCTGCTCATTTTGCGAGCATACTTTTTGCTTTATTGAACTTTTACTTTCAATTTAACTTTGAGTCCTCGAGCAGTCTGCTTTCTGCTCGGTGCTAATTCATTCTCGTCACTCATACGCCATGTGCGCCCATTTGCAAACGGTGCAGAACAGCTCTCTGGTAGAGCAGTGAAAGTGAGGATGCCGGCGAGTCGTTCATTTGTGTCAATAAAGCAGAAATTAATTGAAATCTCCCCGTTGCTGTTGATGTCTCTGGCCTGCCGCCAGCCAATCATCAATTCAACTGTCTCTGGTTCTCTTGGTCTCTGGTTCCGCTTTTTCCGTTTTCATTCTTTTCATTCTCCTGCACTTTTGCCCACTCGAATATGGGTGGACAAAATGCTGATGCTGATGCGGATGCTCGTCTCGTTATATTGACATTTCTCCACTCCAGAGTGACATTTAAAGCGTCTGCTCGATAATAAATCACATTGTCATGTGCCAGCGTGGTGTGCTTAAAAAGTTCTTCTTGGCAAACAAAAAATTTGACAGATTCTATGGGTTGTGTGTCAGAAAATACAAATATTTTATGTATTGTGTATGAATTCCCTCTCAAGATGTTCGTTAAAAAAAAAAAAAACAAAAAACGAACAGGAGGCGTTGCCGCTTTTGGGGTGCGATAATGGCACATGTGTGGCATCCACAAGGGATTTCACATTTGAAACATTTTGGGGGCATAAATCAATAAATTGAAGTCGGCAAACAGACAAGCCCCGAAAGTCAACTGGGACGTTAAAGTTTTCTGCCTTTCCAGCTGACATGGGGCTGAGCTCTCGAGAGTAAATCCATTTCGTATTGATGGGAACTTCTACCACGTCGTGCATTGCCAAACAAAATGATTTTCAACCACATTTGTGTAGTTTTTCCTTACTGTTTGTTTTTTGCTTTTGTTATTTTGTGTTCTCAAACAAATGAGAAAAACAAATGCACTTACACTCGGACAGGTCCTTTCATCAGGTTTAATGAAAAAAAATTACCCAATATGCTGTGTGCGGCCTGAGGCAGCTCGAAAAAAATGTTATTAACTTTTGCCTTTTCGGGGTGAAGAGGAAGTGGAGTGGAGTGCTCTGATAAATTATGCAGCACTTTGAAATTGAATTTCAAACTCAGCCACTAACTCATTTTGAGAGCATTCCAAGGGTCTTCAATCCGAGTCCAACAAATTGTTATTTATGTCATCCCCTCCACCCGCATTTTCCCTTCCCAATTCGACTGCAATTAGATTTGCATACATTTCCATAAAGAAGGGACAGACACATAAAGGAAATGCCCCAAATGTCACACACACGTTGCTGTTTATGTTTATGTTAATGCTATCTATCCCTTTGGGGTCTTCCGCTTGGGTACACTGCCGAAAATTTATTAAAGCCGTGTACAACTTGTGGACATGCCAATTCTGCATATTTAATGTGGCTTACATTATAATAAATGTCTTTTAAATTAAATACATTTTTCTTAGGATTTCTTTTTGGTTTCTGGTCTTGCACAACTCTATTGCGTTTTTGAAAAAGGTTTACAAAATGTACCAATAATTTTCATTAATATTCAATGGTTCTATAATTCCATGCTTTAAATGTTTATTGTAAGACTCAAGTCTTAAAGGGTTTTAACTTTGTTTCTACCAGCATACTTTCGAAAATACTTTTGAGTTAAGCACATTTAGGTTAATCGTTAAAACTTCTTCCAGTGCAGCTGTGAGAATGAAGAGAAAGTGATGCTGACTCACCTCTTGACCTGGGGCATCAGGATTTGGGCGGTGTGCTTGAGTGCCTCCACGCAGGTGCGTCGCAGCTTGCGGATCTTCTCGCGGAGCTCGGGGCAATCCTTGGCCTGGCCCACGTGTATCAGCATGTCCCGGAATAGCGCCACATGGCTGTTGATCTCCATGATGAGCTGAAATCAAACGGAGAGCGGGAAATTCGTATCAGGGTCATCGGCATCATCGGCAGGCAACTGATGCTTAATTTATGCGAAAGCTCTATTAGGCCGGGCACATAGCACATAGCACATTACATATTTTAATTTATGCACAACCCCATCCGACGACCGCAGGCAACAGCAGCAGCAGCAGCCTAAGTATATATTTGTTTGCCCTGGCTCCTCGTTGGCCCTTCAAATTTCTGGGAAATTCTCTGGCCAGATAAAATTGAGGCTGCTGCTCCGCCGGATTCTGCTGTTGCTGCTGCCGTTTTACGGCTCATTGCCGTAATGGAGGCGGCAAATGAATCGAGCAATCGAGACCTAATTCCTTTGCCGCCGCCAACACCATCACCATCGCCATCGCCTTTTGCCTGCGGCCGAATCAGGCTCATAAAAATTAAAATGCCTAAAATGTAAAGGATTATTTGAGCTCATTTTTATGGCTTTCGTGTGCGTTAGCTCTTTTCGAGCGGCAGAAGGGTCAAGCTGTTGCTGAAAAGTATATTAAGTCAATTATTATTGACTGTACTTCCTATTCTTGGCTTAAAGTTAATTTTTGTGGGCTTAAAAATACAACAAATTTTGTGGGCTCTTATGGAATGCTTTAATATGTAAATTCAAATTGACAGTTATAATTCAGAAGTATTCTTAAATTAAAAAGTCTGTTGCTTAATTTGGGTTTAAATTTACAAATTTTGATATAAATTTTTTTTTAATTTGTATGTATTATTATGTAATTTAATGATAAGCTAGTGGCTATTGAGAACTATTGCTTTGCAGTTTTTATATATAAAAGGATTTACACACTTAAATCTCGTTTAAAAAACTGTGATTTATTAAAACCAATTAAAAGAGAAAACTTTCTTATAATCGCTCTGTTTATAATGAAGTTTTGTTTTTATTTTGCCACCTCTGAAAGGTTAATTTTACAGTCAGTCATAAGTTTAATTTTCTGCATTATTTCCACACACACGCACACATACGAAAGGCAATGCCGCAAAGCCAACCTACACACATGCGAGAGGCACGTTTAAATATTAATGGTTGACTTTGGCAACCTCATTTCCCCCTCAGCCTCGACACGTCCCCCCAAAATTCCCGCCCCCATCTGGTCGCGCACTTCATTTAAAACGCGGCGTATGCGTAATTTTAATAATCCTCGAAAGTCTGAAACGCCCCCGGGCAAACGCAAAGTGAATTCTGTGGCCTGACTCAATTTGGGGCCGACAGCTGTGCGACTGGGCCGATGAAGCACTATGAGGGGAGGCTGGAAGATTTACAGCTTTATGAAAGATATGCATGATTAGTCATATTGATGGCATCGGCTTGACAATGCCACAGACTGGGCCAAAAACGAGGCGGCACAGAAGGGCGGGGCACTTAGCCAAATTGCTTATTGAAAGTGCTGCTGCGAGTACGACATTTCCCAGAAAACTTTACCCAAAATGTAGGGTGGGAAAGGTGGGGGGTACGGGGGCGGTATCATGGTTTTGTAATCATTCCTCTTGGCCTGCGCCTAGGCAAAACTTTTCCACCATCAGCTGTTGCTGCCCTCCTCTCGGTGGCAAATTTATTGGATTCATTGTTTTTAAAACCCAGCTTTGTTTGCCGGTTGGTTGTGATATTGACAGGAACAAGGCAAAGTCGATACGGTATGCGGGTTAATTTTAAACAAAAAATCAAATTCAGTCTTCCATTGAAAAGGACTTTGAATAAGGGTTTCTTAAGGGTAACACAATCAAATTGTTTTATGCCATGTGGGCGAAATTATGGAGTAAATAAATAAACAGAACATAATATTACAAGCAATAGAAGATTCTTGGGCTTATTTATAATGTTATTTAACAATATACATTTTTCATTTTGGCTGGCATTTATCAATGCTTGTTTTGTTTTTTATCCTGGCTTTCAAAAAGAACATTAAATATAAAGTGACAATATTTTCATCATCAATCTCAGCAGATTTATTTTATTAAATCCTTAAACTACTTCAAAAATGTCATTATAAAAAATTAAGTCTTTATTTTCATTTACACTCTATATTCTGTACGACCTGAATATAAGAGACCCACAATGTTTCATTAAATACTTTAATAAGACATAGCTCATTGGGGACCCCACAAAATCCAGCCTCGGTTGCTGCCTAATTATTTGGGTTTTTTCACCTGTCCGCCAAGGACAGTGACTCCCATAAAACACTACCAAGTGGGACCCAAACCGGTACAGGTATAAGCTCATAAAAGCCACACGCATAAATTTTATATGTCGCTCAAATCTCGGCAGATATAAAGAGACAAATCAGGACAGGGGGGGGGGTTCATTGCAAAAAATTCATGTAGCTCATGCAAATCCCAAACGTAAACGCCTGTCGTCTTCGTCCTGGGCAAAAGGTCCTTGGGCTGGCATAAAAAGGGACAGCCAGGGGAAGTGCTAAACCAGAGTCAAGTCCTTGCGCAAAAACAAAAAATAATAATATGAATGCGGAAAAAGCCCGAGAACATTTGCGAAATTACCTGACCACGCACACACAAGCTAGCCTGTATGAAAAAGATTCATTAATACAAGGCTGAGGTATACATTCAATTCCCCCGGCGCATTTGGCGCTCCATTCGGTCAGTAATGAGAGCAGAGCCTAATGGCAATGCCACCTAAAAACTGTGCTACAAAAGATGTGCCGCCGCATGATGTAGCATGTAGAATAATAATTTCGAGTGCTAGAATTATTCCCCCCTTCCCGAGCCATATGCATATTCATGCGGAACTGGACTACTGGCCATTCTGTTTTATTATTCTTCTACCACTTTGAACTACTTTTACACCAACTGTTGAGGCGGAAAATTGAAAAACATCTGCCGACGCTGGCCCGCTGAGAATTTAGTACAACAAAAGCAACCGAAAGCAAACGCGTTCTACATGCCACATGCAATATGCTACATGCACCGAAAATTAAGTCTCTTGACTTTTCATTAAAATATTGTAAAGAAATTTAATTTTTAACCAGCATTAGAATCATTTAATTGAATAATTTAATTTATTCTGCTGATTAAATGTAAAATCTATAATATATTTAAGGCACAAAGAAGTATTGATATTATTATTCCAGAATTTTATTCCTAGTGCACATACGTGCTGTGGTTGCCGTGAGGAATTCTCGTTCCCAATCCCACACTCGTTGGCCAAATGTGTAAATCAGCAAAAACGCAAATGCCACAACGCCAAGAAAAAGACATAGAATGCCCGCGGGGTGGGAGATGAGTTAAGATGGGTGGTGTGAGTGGCAGGGGTGCTTACAAGGCGGTTGCAACCGGGGAAAGAAAGCAACTAACATACAAAAGAAAACGACAAAAAGTAAAACTGAATCTAGACAAAGTGAAAGCGGAAATTAAAATTGCAATACAAAAGAGGGGAACCGACAAAGGCAAAGACAGACAGCGTTCGTAATGAAGAGTGTGTGTAAGCGTTAGAATGTGCAGAAGTGTGTGTTCGGGGTGTGTGTTTACATTAAGAATGCATTTGCCCACGGCCATGGAATGATATTGTCCACTGCCTTGCATAACTTAAGGACCTACTCTTATGATGAAAAGGCTTTAAAATTTCTTATAATAATTATTAAATATGTGTAATCCATTAACCCAGTTATTACTTTGTGTTAAGGTTAAGAAATTCTATTTGAAACATTTTATTTTAAGGGTCCACAATATTTTTCCTACCTATTTTACTGTGTGATTGTAGATAAATAAACTGCAAGTTAAGATTCTTAGCCAAGACTAGAGAAATTTCTTCTCTTGCATTTAATACCAACAGCAGATGCTCTCCTTTTAGCTAATAAATATCACGCACCATTTGCAACACGAGCTGCAAAAACTTTGATAACGGGCTGCTGCTAATGCGCTTTTCACATTCTTTTCCACATCTGTTGATGTCCAGCAACAGCCACGCCCACAAGGAACAATTACCAGGCTGGTAGCAAAACCAACAGAGTGCACTGCCAAAACGCATTAGCCACCGAACCAACCAGTTGAACTGTAGAATAATTACAATCGATCTGCCAGGGGGTCGGAGGTGCTTTTCAGGCAATCGCAGGAAGCGGCCAACTAGCCAACTGTCCATTCAACAGTCGACGGGCAGTCGACCTTTAACCCATCGCCCCCTCCCGTCAACTCCCCTGTCATTCAAACAAAGGTTCGTTACAGTGTATGAATGTCGGACAGCGTTTTGAAATCGGCTTACAGAGAAAAAAAATGTTTACAGCAATTTATGATTTTTTAAAAACAATTTATTAAGAATACAAACATGGCTAAATGAATAATGACTTCATTTTTGCAGCTAAAAGTAATTTTTGAATAAGCCTTTTGCAACTCTTCGATACTTGTTATAAAAGGTCGAGAAAGTAAGACAAAAATATGTAACAATATTTAAAGCACTAATATTAAATAAATTTATTATGTTTTTATGTCGCTAAGCAAAAAAAGGTAATATTTTTCACACACCATTTTTTGTTTCCCGCTTTTGTGAAGATTATTTCCCTCTGTGTTCTACCAACTCGACAGCAACTTGCAGCAGGAGGCAGCAGCAAAAACATCACAATGCCGCAGATGTGCAACACACACGGTCAATATCGAATGGACTCATGTGCGATGCGTCCAGGGGCGTGTTGGTGTTAGCCACAAAGCCCCACTCGGCTAGCAGCGGCAATAAAAGAAGAGTGTCTATCGAATCGCAGCTGTGGTAAAGTGACGCTGATGAGAGCTCCTGACCCCCTGACCCCCAACCTTCAATTCCTGCTGCCGCAGAAAGCAATTTGGATTGGACTGACTGACCCTGCTTAGATCACACGCAGTTCTCTGAGGTTGCGGATTTGGCTGCCATCAAATGCGTAATGGGATTTCTATGGAAAGATTTAAGAAATATTTGCCAACTCTTCTGAAATTTCTTATCGAGTACTTTGGGTTTTTGTTATATAACGGCAACGTCCTTGTAATAACCAGATGATCTTATTTATAAATACAAATATACCATATACATTTTAATACATTGCTGAAAAAATGTAATTTTGATTAGCCTAAACTCACAAAACTATTGGGTTTTTTATAAAGATTTGAAATTGCCATGACAGTCATCACATTTTTGATAACAATTGTAAGGACACTGGCAATGATTTCGTATTAAAAGAAAATTCATTACGAATCTTAACCCATTTATATTAAACATTTTGCCTTTTTTAGCATTCAAAATTTAAGCTTCAATCTTTAATCTTTAATCTTTATTTTTTTTTTCCTTTTCAAGCCCATCATTTCTATTTCGAAATAAAACTTCCATCTAGGCAGCAATTGCATCGAGCAATCGGGTCATTTGTGTAAGTGATAACAAAAGCTTGTAATCCGCAAAATCGATAAGACGCTTTGCCAGGACGAGACGGGCTTTTATTTGCTCCTTGACGAGGAGTGGGCACATAGTGGTCTCAATGGCCACCGATTACGGCGATGGGACTGGGTGGCAGCGATGAGGAAGAGGCAGGACCCAAATGGTCGGAGTGTGTGCTGAGCTGCTCGGTTTACATTATCAATCAAGCTGACTGACAATCGAAGGATACCTTTCGGCCATATTGAGAGTGACACAAGGCGAAGAATCTGGATGGGTCTTGTGTGTTCAGAGGACCTTGAACACGATCCTTTGTTTAGGCACGGCTTTTTATTGCGCAACTTTCTGTCCCAAATTCATGTGGCCTTCAAACCCACTCTCACACACACACACACGATTGCAGGATAGACAAATGTTCGCCGCTAAAGTTAAGTACAAGTTTTCAGCTTTTTATTGAGGTTCTGTGGCCATCCCCCAATGCCAAGAGCCCAGTGACAGGGTCGACTAAACGTCTACACAAACATGCCATACATTATTCCAAAATTAATGAAGACATATTGGCGGCTGTTGAGTGTGGGAGTGCTCGTTTAATGAAAATTGGTTGTAGTTCTTTTTTGGCACGCACTTTTCCCGCTACCGCCTGGAAAACTGCAGTGGCCAAACCCGAAATTATTATTTCCACTCTAGTCCTGGACAGCGAGCCATTTTTCTTGAACGAAAACGGGGGGACCGTGAAGTCTTTTCTCATCAACGCCAGTCACTCTGCCCATTTACGCTTTTTTTTTTAGCAAAAACATGCTCATGCACTAAAAAAAATATATAAGTAATAATATTCTATAAAACTTGGACGTACAAATACTTTAAAAAATTAAGCATACTTAACTCTAAATTCTATTATACCATCTATTATTTAGGCAATTTAATTTAGGGTTTTTAGAATTTTAGAGTTTTGTCAAAAGGCTTGTAATATATACATTCAAACTATGAAAAAGTTGGAGAATATTTTTCCCAGTGCTGGAGGTGTAGTTTGGGGTGGGCGTGGCTCCGTGCGTGCCCTGTGAAAGGAGAGCTGCCTCGTATAAAAGTGCTTCATTACTTTGCGCAACAGCTCGCGAGAATATAATGAATGGCAATAAACGTGTTTCACATTTTCTTTTTCGCTGCCACTCTGCCCGCTTTTTCCGATTTTAAAACAAAAAACATTTTCATTTTGCTGCTAGACATCTTTAGTGAATGGTCAAGAGAAAAATCCACGTCCGGTTTTTCTCCATCCACTGGCACTTAATGCAATCCTTTCAATAATTTGATATCAGCTGTTAATGCAGTGGCATGCCTGCCATAAACATGATTTCCACTCAATCCTACTTTTAAAATCCTGGACCGGATGCATTGCGAAAAATTACAGATAACTTTCCCTTTATTGAAGACCATGTCAATTGGTTCATTACTCGCAATGCATTTCCGGTAGCACTTTTTTCGGCGCCAGCTTAAGGTGGCTTTGAAGTCTAAAGCTCCTTTTCGCAATTTTCCAACGGATTAAACTGTGCACTTGGAATTGGGATTCATTAGTGCTTTTCTTTTTTTGAGGAAACACGAATCGGCACTTTTTTGAAAAGGTCACACAGTCGCTTGCCAAGCTCTTAGAAATTGGAAGTGCAAAAGAATTCTTTGGACAAAATAAGTGCAATTTGGCATTCGTTTGAGGTTTGCAAGCTTGGGAACAAGCAAAACTGGTTTTAGTTTTAGCTTACGTTTAGCCTTAGAAATGCAATCAACCGTTTAAGGAATCCAAATTTATTGATGCCATCAGAAAGAGTTGAAAAAGTTATTTTTTGATGCCAAGGTGATCTATAATGATGGATGACACTAACCAAATTAAAAATGTATGAATAGTTTTAAAAATGTATTAACCTTTATCTATGACTTGGTGGTAAGTGCTGCTTGGCTTTTATTAATTAATAATATAACTGACTCTAATTTACAAATATATATTTAGAAGGCTCTCAACTTACCGTATTCAGGTTGGTGATCTTGTCCAGTTCCACGGCCGTGCTGCCGCGATGGTGGTGCAGGTGGTGCAGATGGTGAGTTGTCAACATGTTGCTCGCGTGGCGGTTGCTGCTGCCGTTGGTGTTGCTCTTGCTGTTGTTGCTGCGGTGCCGGCTGTCGTAGCTGTTGCTGTTGCTGCCGCATTCAATCGAACATGGCTCACGGGTCACTGGGTATCTGCTATTCGTCCTCTGACTCGCGGCGAGCCATTTAGACAGCAAATGCAGACGGATGCACTTAGCTTCGCTTATTTCCAATCACATCACCTGGGTGCCTGACCATCTGCGGAAGCCGAACAAATGACGTAGAGTGAGATTGAGTGCGATTGAATTCGAATTGCATATATGCAAAATCGGGCGACACCGGAACGCGTTGACACGCTTTTCCGGAAACCGGGAATTGGGGAAATGGTAGGTGGAGAATTCGGATGCGGCATCGCCGATTTCCGGCACGTCACCCCACCATCGCCACAATCGATTCAGTCGGGGATTTTAGATTGCATTTTGCTGCCACACCGATCGATTTTCAGCCCCCAGCAAAAAACAACAATCGCCACGGATGCGACAGTTGGCAATCGCTGCTGACATTTTCGGCGTTAACACTTGATTTGGCTTTGAGTGGCGGAATTGGCTACTACGTGGCCACAAACTTGTGTCGACTTAACCACTGCCCTCAGCACTCTTCGATTCGCACAAATAAACAAGCAGTCAACAAAGGTCGAGCACGAGTCAAACGAACTGAAATTATATTCAACTCTTGGTGCAGCAGCAATATGCAAGACTACGGACGCTATAGTTCAGCCACGAGGGTTGTCCGAGACGTCATACGTATTTAGAGAATATTATTTTTATATTTTTGAAAGTTTTGAGTTATTATACATGTTTCTAAAAGTTTTGTTATATTATTTACCTGAACATAAATTTTTAAATTTTTTTTTACTTTAAGATATTTTTACCATTTATGTGCTGAAACTTGCACCTTATTAGTAATCTAGCTACCTCCGCCGCCTTCTGACCTTTGCTAGCCCTACTACTCCACAAAACGATGAAATTACATTAAAAGGAAAACAACTGAGCATAACTCAGCCCGCTGCATCAGCTGAAAGTCTGAAAGCCAGCACAGAAAAGCAATGCAAACAAATAACGTAGTCTAAGACCCAAGGTAAATTGTTTGCAATGGCGAGGAGATGAGACACCGAGGAGCGCAGAGATGAAGATGCCTGCCTGCAGTCCTTGTTTGACTTCTGCCAGTCAAGTCGCTCGATTTACCAGCACATATAGCTTTGAATAGGCTTCAGGCAAGAATTTTGAATAAATTTCTGGGAGTATCAAGTGAATTGGCATTAAAAGATTTGAGAACCTGAATAATATAATTACTTTCCATTAAATCGAATATTTTTCCCATGGATCGATGCATTAAAGACATTTATTTTTTTGAAAATAAGATAAAAAAATATAAATTAAAACAGCCCCAAATAAGTATTCAAAAATCTGGATAAATCATAAGATGTACATATATATATTTCTTTTTAATTTTCTAAGCCAATTATTAATGGACCATTTAACTGAGGCCGCTGTGATAATTTCAGAGCGGAAACAAAATTAATTTCCTGTTGGAAAATTAAATTTTCACACCTTCTGGCTCACAAAAGAGGCTTTGGCAAGCTGTGAGGCAACTAAATGTGATTCCACATTTATGCCTGGCCCACCGTAAATGCAACTGATAAGAGGTGTGTGATTGTTGGCTCAGAGTCGCACTTTTGCCGGAAGGATCCGCATTGTTTGCCATCGAGCGTGGAAGGACGAACTGCGTGCTGGGCATGGAAAAGCGCCTCATTAAGTCACGGCGCGTTGCAAAATATGCCGCGAAAGGATTAAGCGACGATGCCAGCGACGATGCTGGCGACAAAATGGCGTGCCGCCTATTAAAAGGATTTCATCTCCTTGCCCTCGTCTTTTCCTTATTCAAATGTTCATTCCTGTTGCTGCCGCTTGCTTCGCCGGCTAAGTGTAATTAAAAACTTAAATGGAGGAAGAAATGAAATGCGTTGCTTTTTGCATTTATGAAACATTAACGCAAATCTGAGTCAGACGAAGTTCTGTTTAATTGTCCGTGTGTGTCTTGTCCGATTTAAATCAATTTCTGCCACTGTGTCGTATACGCAATATTCAAGGCGTTTACTGCGCGGGCGAAAAGGATCTAAAATAGGAGGCGTTTTCGTTTGTATGTGGGAAATCCGCTACAACAGAATGCCATAATCAAGTGAAATAAAACCATTCTTAATGGCAGCCAGCCAGCGAAAGAGAGTGCATGTTCTCGCTGGCTGGGAATTAGCCCCTCAGTCTCGACACTCTGCTAGACATGGCAGAAACTCATTAGCTTTATTACACAGACACACTCTCCGGATAACAGGCTGAGTCCACATCCACCACAGGCCCAAGCATTCGTATTAACTATTCATGTCAGCACACACATTCCCAGCCACTCACACTTTCGCCAAAGACATTTGAATAATTTTGACATATGTGTGATTAATTCAAACATTTTTGGCAACTAATGCTGTCATTTTTTATGTGAGTACGACACCAAATTAGCACTTTATAAACACCAACTGGTTGAATAGCAAACCATTCTTGTTACGAATATGATATCTGAAATTTGAGCTTGAATTTAGAATGTTTAGACACTTAAGGCAAACTATTTAAGGGAAAATCTTTATAATATCCAACAAAATCTTTTTTATAATCAAGTTCATGGTCAAATACTCGAAAACTAGATTTGAAAGTTTATGCGAAAAAGTTGGTGTGTCTCAACCTAGTACAAGTTTTTGAAAAGTTTTGAAGGCAAGGGTATAAACAAATAAGTAGTTTAGGATGAAATTTGGCTTACCGGAAAACTATTTTAATAAAATTTAAGGCTATATAAATTAAGTTTTTCTGCAAAGAAAACGTCTTTCAAAAAGTATAGAATATACAAAAATAATGCTTTATATCACAATTTAATACTAGACTTTAAATCTGAGAAAATTCCATAAACGTGGAACAACAAATAAATTCCTCATAAGACTGAGTTACTTGTTTTTTGTGTGCCCAACGATTGTTAACCTTTGTGAGTCAGCCAAGTTCTATTCAAGTCCCCACAATGACTGCCTGATTGGGGCTTGGGCGATTAAAGACCCTGACAAAATGAAATTTATGGCACTCAGCCCACTTAAAGCTAAACGACAAGCGCTTTTTGCTCTCGCTCTGTGCATAAGGCCACCGAGTAAAATATGAAACAGAAATCAGGCAGCGACAATGAGCGGACAGGAGCAGAAAAGTGCACACAGCAAATAAAAGCGGCAATATAAAAGAGTCGCATGCCGGAAACGGCAAACGACAGTCGGCAGGGGGAAAAGTGGTAGAGAGTGGTTAAATGGGTGAATGTGGAAAAAATGGAAAAAGTGGAAAAAAGGGGGCTCAGAGCCTAATGCCAATGCCAAACACCGGATGCGGATGTGTGACACATGGCCAAGGGGCGACCTCCCCCGCCGACTGGCAACATACGCACAATGTCATTGTCGCTGGCTTTAAGTAGGCGACTTTATTAAGCCGAGGACACCGAGGAGCACCTCCAAAGTGGACAGAGCGCAGCACAACCAAATGACACACAAATGGGTACAGTGGAACTACAAATATAAAGTACCAATATATACATGATTATTTTTAAGCTGATGATTTGATATTTTTTATTTATTGTATATGTTTATTAAAATTACAGATATATAAGTTTAGATATATACACTAACTTAAAGCTAAGATCAAAGTGGACAGCAGTTTAAAATTATTAAACATCTTCTTATTGAAAGTAAAAAATTAATAGTGAAGTAAAAATAAAATATATTTTACAAGTCCTTGATAAATTTCTTTGCAGTTACATTTCTAAGCTAATAATTTGAAATTTTTTGTGTTGTGGTATTATTTGTTTCGGAAGTCTTTATTGTATCTTGATATTGAATATTTTAAAATAAACTGACCTGTTCTTATTATTACAACACTAAAAGTATAATTGTTTACTTTTGAATTCATGGCATATTAGCATTGTTATGTGTAAATAAAAGTCTGCCATAAAATCAGTTTACAGAAGTGGCTTGAACTTCCGACCAACCTGCAATTCCCAAGATGGCTGTATATTTTCCGCGCTTTACTTGAGTGAAATTCCCATTGTGCCTTGGTCGTGTGCGAAAAGAACAAACGGCATAATAGGCCGAAAGTACAGGACACCTGGGCACGTGTGGGTGGTCGGCTGTTGTTTTGAACGTCCTTGCCCCGACCCACCTGGCATAAAATTAAGCCACGGCGACACTCTTGTCGCCTGGCCGCGTCTTCGGCTTAAAGCAAAGGTCGTTTACGGCTGCACGGCCACAATTTGTTGCTTTTTGATATTTATTTAGACGCGTCGCATGGAAAATGAAAAGCGCAGAGCCGTGCCACGACATAAATCAAAAGCACAAGACGTCGGAAAAGCCGAAGGAAAAGCCGCAGCGGAAAAGGGAAACGCTGCGGCAACAATGGTAAGCGTTCAGGTGCAGAGTGCGACTTAAACTGGTTATTTATGGCAGGGCCAAGGGCGAAGAGTTGAGTCTGGGCCGCGCAGCTGGGATTCCCCGAATCAAAGTGAAAAAATAAGAAAGTTCGAGGGACCATGCCGCACGATAGTTTACGCAAATTTCAAAGGTTTCCTTTTTCAATTTTGAATGGTGAAGGTCTTTAATATTTTCAAATAATTTTCAATCAGTTGCATGATTTTCCTTTAACATTTTCTTAAAAGAATTGCCCCTTTAGGCACTGAAAAGTAGGCCATGACTTATGCCCTGGCTCCTTATAATTTTCAACTGGTTAAAGTCATTTTCCAGCCGAGTGCACCTAGCATAATCTGGAAAACAACGAAAAAATAAACTAAAGAATGGAGAGAAAGAACAAGGAGCCTCGGTCCTTTGGCCTAAATGGAAATGGCGACGACAGCGATAAATCGTCCGGTAACGAGAGTCCCTTTTCGACCAGATCGTCGAGCAGCTCCAGCGACACCAGCAGCGACAGTTCCGTCGAGAAGGAGCCGTCCAGTGAAGCGGAGAGCCTCTGCATTCCGAGCGGAAGCTATGATGTGAGTAACGGCTGACCAATTAGGACATATTAATCCCCCAATCAGATTATCACCAAGGCCCACCTGCAGCAGTTTGTGCAGAAAACCGACGCAAACGCCTCGCTGGACGATCAGGGCTGTGACTTGATGGCCAAAATAGC